GCTGAACCTAGGTCCACGGGTTTTTAAATAAATTTCCTTACAGGTCTTTTGAAAGAAATTTCCTTATAGTTCTAACAATGAAGAAATGAGTATTTTTGTACATAGAGAGCATTTTAAATAGAAGCTACGTACAATGAGAAAGCCTGAAAAAGGAATGACCTCATCATTTGAATGGAAATGGTTACTCTGAAAAAATCCACAGATTCTTATACATTACAACATATGTTGTGCAGTGATTCAGTGAAGATATTGTAATCATCTTTTTTCCAGAGATGGGAAAAAAATAAATAGAGTGTGACTCAGAAAAAAAAATCTATGATTCACAGTGCTGTAAATTAAAAAAGAAAAAAAGTCCTGACCACTCAAGCTGTTTCATAGGATAGCAATGTAATTTTTCTGTGTCTTTTTGAACTTCCAAGTGTCTCATTAGCTTCCACATTTTGCTAGGTATCCTGTCCTTCAGATCCCTTTGACTTGCATCCTTCTCGGTGTTTCAATGAATCATCTACCATCATTGTGTTAAGCTGGGCCAACAGTAACATAGACAGAGACCATAAAGATGCAGCCATGGGTCCCAGATACTTCATTTTTGTGTTTCTAGACATGGCACCATTCCTCTTATGTCAGCTCTGGGACCCATTCTCTGTCATGCTGGGGAATTTGACATCTTTCCAATGAGGCACAAAACTAATGTACTGTCTGTTAACAGTTGCAGGGTACCGACTGCAAGAGCGACGTTATTGTCCCACTGGCTAAATTCCATTCTAGCAACCCAATATTCTTATTATTCCACATGACTAAGGCAATTCATACTTCTTGTTCTAAATCTTGATGACCATAAAATTGCCATCTGTTGCTGCAGATGACCAATATTTAACCGTCAGCTTGGTTTAATTCCAGAAAGATGTGAAGTCATCGCTTTATTTGTTATGCAGCTACTCAGTCCCTTTGGGAGTTTTCTGCGTGGAAAACGTGATGTTAGACCTGATGTTATCTGCATAGCAAGGTGCTAGTATGGTATTAAAATTATGTGGAAATTCTTACTTCTGCAGGTCATACATACGACCAATTTGGAAGAGGGCCAACAGATAAGAAACTGGGCTAGATGACACTTACTGTCCTGTCAGTACTCTAGGTAGAATAACAGTGTGATGAAGCATCAAAGTCTTATGCTTGTACTACTAAATAATAGCGTCTCTGCGGCCAGGTGGCAAAGACTGTGATGTCCATACTACATGTAGGACTTGTCCTGGGTATCCCAAGGTGTGGTCTAAGACACTTCTATCAAATGCCTGCGGGTTGTGGTACAGCAAGAGCAGTGCCTTCAGGGGCGCAGAGACCACACCATGTGCCCCGGGGCACAGCGTGAGAGGCAGTGCCTGGTGGGGCAGTGCCAGGCATCTGCGTACAGCAAAGGGAGCCAGGCCTGCTGCTGGCTTTTCCATGCTATTTTTCAGTGCTGTTCTGCAAATCATGGGAAGGTGTTTATCAGTACGTAGAGTACAATGCCAGCAAATGCTAACGGTTAAGTGGAATAGACAAGCAGTGGCCTAATGCCCAGGGCTGTTCTGTGGTTCTGATTCAGTGGAGTTCCTCAGGGCGTGGGATGCAGCATCCTTGGCCTCTTGTACACCTGTCACTGTCGGGCCACTCAAAAAGCAGGCAAGTTTGGTCAGAACAGGTGCACAGTGAGAGGAAAGGAGGGGGAATCTAACAGTGTGGCAAGGACATTGGCAGGGTCTGGGGTTTTATCTGCTTTATGATAGCTGTAGTGCTCCAAGAAATTAGAGATGTAGTGACAGAGCAAACTCAGACATTTCTGTCTCTTATGAAGAGTCACAAACACCCAAGAGGTTATCACATTTTACTCTTTCTTCCCTAGACCTTGTACTGGCAGAATCCCAGAGGTCATAAATTTTTTTCCTGAAAGGCTAGTTTGGTCCCATCACTTTCCTGCAACACTGATACAAGCGCATAACTAGTGGTTAAACTGTAAAGCTTCTTGGGGATTTAAATCGGAATCAGGAAATACAGGAAGAAAAAAAAAAAATATCAAACCCATGTGGTACATCCCATTACAAGCTAATGGAAAGCAGCATGGGAAAGGAAAAAGCTTCATTTAACTAGATGACAGGTGTGACCCAAACCAATTCAGAACCAATCCCAACCACTGATTATAACATATTTTGCACCATTCTAAGTATCATGTTGAAGACCTGCCTTTTATAAAGAAGTGGAAAATCAAAATAAAATGTGATGCACACTACATGGAAAATAATTTTAAGCCCATTTGCAACATGCAATAAAACCAAGTCTTTGAAGAATTGGGGAATTTCCATATCAATAAGAAACTAATATTAATATAAGCACCTTTAGGTTTTTATAAGATACTGTATGCTAGTATTTCAACTACATGACATTAATTATAACTTTAATGAAAGAGCAAGCTGATGATATTAGGGAAAACAGCATGGAGCCATACACAGCACTGCAGTGTTTTGACTGCTTGTCTCATTTCACGGTTAAGGAAAGCCCCGGAGCCGGCCATTCCCTGCTCACCCAGCAGCAGACCGTGCACGCACGGGAAAGCTGGTACTGCTGCTGGCATCCAGGCAGAGGACGTTCCCTCTGGACACACACACGCTGACGAGAGGAGAAGAGGCCTAGAGGAATGTGGCTGCCCAACCTGGAGCACCTACCAAGTGGCCTCCAGGAAAAGAGGCTACTGGGAATGGACCACTGATCAAATTAATGTAAATGAGAGCTACAAGGAACATGTCATCATTATTAGATTCACTGCGGAGAATAAAATACGGAAGGAAATGGCTCGTGGGTAACAGATATGACAGAACTCAGCATTTCTGAGTTTCAAGACAATACTGAAACTAACAGATGCTTAGTCAACCATTTACATCTCTCCTGGAAAGGTTACAAAAAGTGGCAAACATGAAATAAGGCCTCATCCTTTACATGATATGATGATTTGGGGTTTTTTTTCTAAAGAACCTGCGTGTTCTTTAATCACAAAGGTGTCATGGGCCATAACTGGTCTAAAGGTTTCAACAGTTGGCAGAGAAATACCACAGAATACAAACTAAAGCATTTATATCCTTGGGAATATATCATTGGGAATGAGCCTTAAAATTACTTTTTTTTTTTTAAACACATTTAGTACATCTAAATATCTGCATTGTTGTAAAGCTCTATCTGTATCAGTAACTATACACAGAAACACAGCACTATACACGTCCCTACATTGTTCTGAGACTAAACAAAACCAAAATTGTCACCAAAACCTGCCTTTGCTGCAAGGACCATGGAGCAGGACACCCTGTGTTAAATACAGGGCAACAAAGCTGTGGCAGTGGAACTTATTTCAGTGTTGAGGAAAAGGGGTCAGAAATCAATCTGAGAGGAATCAATAGGGCTGAAAGGCCTCCTGAATTCTGCCACTTTATATTCCAGCCTTTAAACAAAATCTGGTGGTGTAGGAACTGCCGAGGTGGGTCAGACCACTCACTGGTCTAGATAATCCATGAGCTGGTCTCCTTTGGGGCTAATACCATGCGCTTCAGAAGAGGGTACAGAAGAACCCCACAGCTGTAGTGAAAGGTTTCCACGAGGAGCTGTTTCTTTCTGGACAAGGAATGGAATAGGGAGCCAAGCACTGCAGGCAGGTTTGAACATCAAATTTGAAGATGCAAACTCCTAGAAGAGCATTTAAAACTCTATAAATAAAAGTATGTAAGAAAGAAGAAAACCAGGTAGTCTCATTACTCAAGCTTTTGAGAACAATTGGGATAAAACAGAAGTCTTGACTACTAGTAATGTTTTAATACTGCTTTGCAGCTCTTCCATGTGTTGTGGGGGAGTGGAGTCATTGGAGTGGCTGTGCAGAACAATGTCAACCTCATCTGCGGATACGTAGGCGGTATGTACAGCAGGAACCTAAAAATGGCGGGGAACCTTGTCCTGCTCTAGAGGAGAAGGCTGGCTGCCTGGAATACCTGACTTACCAGGGAGAGGACTGCGGCCATGAACATGGTATTCTCTCTTTGATTTATCTGTACATTGTGCCCATCAAGGCCTTAATAAGTTTTACTGATATCAATGAACAGAAAAAAAAAAAGCATCAATCTGCAGCTAGCTGGTTAAAAATGCAATTTAAAACCTTACTTTCTACTGTCATCTTGCTCTTTATTCTATTCTTAATTTTTTCTACCCAGGCTTTCCTTAATTTCTATTAAGGAAACAACTAAGCTGCACACATTCCTTCAGATTCTCGATTTAAGCCCCTCAGTAACTATGAAATTATCTCTGTGCAAAGTTAGAACACAAATTTAGTACCAAACAGGAAACAGAGGTCCTTGTAAGATTCCAGCATATCTTTTTTCCTCACAGACTAGATAGCATGCATTTCTAGCTACATTTCTTCTGAATAAGGAGAGAGCTTAGCTGTAAGGAATGGGGTTGAGTGTTGCCAACAGTTTATCACTTTTTCAGTAAAGTCAGTCAGTGTCACCATCCACAAGCTCCCGATTGATTCACTCACTGTTACAGGAATTGAAATACGACTCAACTGTGTTTTGCTGCCTTACTGTAACTGTTTTCTTCCTCAGTCCCTGCTTTCATAACTACCTCTGAATATGGTAAAGAAAGAAAACGACGAGCAGCATCTTCTCCCTGGCCTTCAGACAAAGACAAAGCTGGGTAATCTATTTATCATGTGCATGTGGGTCATCTTGTTCAACAGAAAATAGCTGGCTACAGAGAAAAATGTAATTAAATTTGCATTAAACAATAAGCTATAGCTTGAAGTGTTCTTCTCTCCTGCAGTTCATTTGCATGTTCTAGATGTTGTTTTTTATTACTTGCTAATTGTCCTGAATTAGACATTGCGGTCATGGCAAATCTGAGGATAGCTGCTTTTGAATGTATCTGTAAGTGCAAGTCTGAGAAATTAGACGCAGGTCTCTGAACAAACAAAATGAGCTGAATGTGATCAGTCTCAAGAGACCTTTTTTTTTTTTTAATTGACACAAGCAGTAAAAAATTTTTGTCTGGTTACCAGTAGAGATGAAGTTTAACTTAGGCTGTTACTGGGTCTGTAATGCTCATAACACTTTGTCCTGTGCTACTTTCCCCAGAACAATAAAGCCCATTGGTATTCTTAAAGCCTCTTTTCCATTTTCTTTTAGCAGCATAGAAGAAAAAAATATGACTTGGAGATCTGTTTTTCAACATAATTTAAGAATACAGAACACAACCAGAAAGTGAGATTGTACATAAAGCACTGGAGTGGGGCATGGAATGAAAAATAGTTTGTGTAATGCTTTTAAGAATTCGTTCATTAGGGTCAGAAAGAGACTTGTTAGCAATGATGATGTCTAACTTGCACTTCACAAATACCACCTGTATGATATGTAAGTACATTTAGAGTATATGCCTAGCTTGTGCTTTATCTAGCATAACTAATTTAGTACTTTTCCTTCTGAGCAGATATTGTGTGGAATTTAAAACAGAGTCACTTACCCCCCACTGTGCTTTGGAGAATCGACCATATGCTCGATGGATGCAGTACCTACGAGAAGGACATACTGTGTGCGTTACTTGCCAGCCTCCAGCTATGAATACTGACACGCATCGCTGTTCCGGAGATGGCCATAACGCAGATGGGTAAAGAAAACCAGTTTTCTGCGGTCTCTTCTGTAGCAAAACCCAGCACAGAAGTTAAAACTTCTCAAGGTCTCATTAAAAGCTGCATTTATTATACCTAAAAAATGAAGCGGCTTGTATGACTTGTAGATCTCCGAAGATTTATTTACCTTTCAGTTCTCACAGAAATTGCTTTTAAAACCTAGATAAAATTGGGAAATAATTTCAATATAAGAGTTCAGTGCTTTGAATACTTCATTTACTATTGTGAAGGGATGATGCAACTTCAGTGGTGCAAGAAGTCTTTTTACAGCTACAGACACTTTTACTTAAAAACGGTATTTCCTGCCATAATCCACATCTGATTTCAGGTTTAACAGTGGTGGATCAGTACTCCTCTCAAACCTATACACCTGCTTTCCAGAACAGTAATTCTGAAAGTAGACATTTCATATTGGGAACTGATTTTTATTTGATCTCTACATTTATTAATGTGCATACTACTTAATACCTGTACAACCAGCTACTTAATCCACTATCCTGTATGCTATACATAGGAATATAGTGCCAGCTCCACAAACCATTTTAAGAGCTAGATCAGCTAATTAAAGTCTTATATTATTAAGCAAATCTAATCTTCTGACCTGTTATACAAGACAACCTGGTAACATGAAATACACGGTTTTCAGTGGTTTAATTCCTCATTTATTGTCGCATTTCAGAGGTAAAATCTTACACTGGGAAGCAGTTGGCAACTCTCAGTGCCAAGGAACCTGGAGGAAGATTCGGCAACTGGAGCACTGTTCATGTCCCCTTGTGCATAGCTTTATTTTTACATGAAAGTTTAAAGGACCTTTAAAAGAGCAACAACAAAAAGATTAAGAAAAGTAACGCCAATGCCAAGAAACCTACATCTTTCTGCTGCATTTGCTGGAGCCTAATCAAACTTTAAAGGAGTCAGAACTTTGGAAGAAGCATTCTAGGAAACTCTCTCTGCCTTAATACAAAACACTAAGACTGATCTTTGTATTACAACAGTAGAAGAATACTTCCACATTTCTCTTTTGTAATTAAAGAGCTAATGTTTCTAACCATAGTAGCTGCTTTTCCTAAAGTTCTCGTTCTTTACTGGCCACAGTCCTGTTTACAGGCACTGCTCCTACTCAGTAGTGAGCCAGCCACTCTCACGTCTGAGAACAGTTAAATAGTAAGGGTGAATAAAAATAAAAGTTTGATAGCTAAAACTGGATTTGGGTTTAGATCCTTTGTTCCTTCCCAATATCATCTGGACAGCTGTTTATACTACAAGTGGATAGGTATTCTTCCTCTACATTGCATTTTTCATGCTCAGCCACTTTCATAAAGACATAGACTAGTCAGCATTGTTAAGGAAATAGTTTTGCACAGAACTTCACATCACTGATACACAGTGTCAACTTTATGGCAGATGAACCTAAACGACTTTGTGACTAAAGCCTTGGCTAACATTAAAAAAAACCTGCTCAATGTTCAATGATTAACATAGAAACCCATAATATTAGAGCAACTGGCAAGACTGCTATGCAGGTAGCTCAAATGCTTGTTTTGTTACCCATTACTTACCTTGTATTATTGTTACCACATTAAAGAGGCTGCACACTGCACTTCCTCACTTGTCAGATACCTGCTCTGACTTTTTTGAATTGTTGGCTTACAGCGGCTCTAGAATTCCTTGCTGAAGGGCAAAGCCTGTATTTTATCAAGATCCTGAAATTCACAATGTTTGCTAAAAAGAAATTACACCTTAAAGTTCACAAAATTTACTGTTAAGATATGCAGCATCTCTGTGGAACCTAAAGACTACTGCTTGCCACTGTTTCTAGCAGCTGCAAGAAGAAACCGTAGCATCCGGTGGCAAGAATGAGGAAGGCAATCTGCCTGAGGTCCTGTCCACAATAAGAGGGTGAAACAAACCTTTGTAACTGTACTTTACCATTTTATCTTAATGCAAGCAGGCCTCCAACACAGAAAGCAGAGAGATTATCTTAATACTTCCTGACCATTTTAGCCTTCAAGACTATCTCTCTTCCTTTGTAGTCAGGAAAAACATGTCGGAGACCAGTTTGGTCAGATGCTCTTCTTTGTAAGGTTCTTGTAAAAGAAAAACCTTACCCAAGGACAAAGGTACAGAAAACGTCTGAATTGAAGAGATTTCACTTTTAAAAGAATGCTGTGATATGTTTAAGTCACCAGTATGACAGTGCAAAGTATGGTTTTTCTTGAGGTTGTCTGCTACAGTCTCTCATGAGCAGGACATTCCTTTTTGAACTTTCCCTTTCCTGCTAGTCTAGAAGCAGCCACTTCTCAAGACAAGGCAGGTAGTACAAGATAATCAAGAGATGTTAAGAGCTAGTATCGTACTGTTACTTTTCATATGTTTTCCATCTCTTCTGCGAGATAAAAAGTGCTATTATGTCAATACACAAACTTCAAAATAATCCTCCATCTAGAACTTAAGCTTAATACTTTAAAAAAAAAGAATCACCTTTACTACTTATAAATGTACAATTAAAGGGAGTATCACAGTTGTAACTGCAAAAAAAGGAAAAAGTTTGTAAAATTATTAATACCAATATATATGTATTTTTTGGTATAACTTACTGACAGAAATGACAAGTCTGACCAAAATTTCAATGTGAAGCAAATCAGATTAGAATGGATTATATGGCAACAAGTAAAATGACAGAAAGCTCTATCTGACTAGACATGCAACCCTTTAAAAATACAGAACACTTAACTCTGTATTAGCTTCTATCAAGCTAAACATGTTGCCAGTCATTTAATACCCCCATGCACATAATTGATCTTTCTTAAATCACTGCAAGCATTTCCACATTTCAGAAATTAGGTCATCTATTGCTTGTAGATGAAAGGCCAGGCTTTACATTTAAGTCATCATTAACCAAGCAAGTGAGCTTACATGAACCTTTATACCTTATTACTTTTCTGTTTCATGTCTTAGGACAGCAATGCTGCTGGACACTCTCAGACTAAAGTAAGTTGTTATTCTGAAAAGATGGGAAAGGTCAAGAAGAGTTGATTCCTGTAGTTGAAATTACTCTTGTTCGAGCCTGCATAGTGTTCTCCACCGGTCTTTTAACATGACACTAGTTCGGTTGTTGAAGTCACCATGGACCAAAATTTTAGCCCAGTTACCCACTCCAAACTCCCTTATTCCTGATTTCAGTTCCAAGTCTTCTTTGTAAGTCCATCGCTAGGGGAAGAACAGAGAAAAATACCAGATATATTAATACCTTTCTTTGTTCATATAAGACCTAAGCTTACAGCAAATATAAAAGCAAGTTTTTATATAGCTATCTAGGTATTACAGAGTACAGATGTCTGAGTCACTAGGGTCATTTTGATTTCTTTTGAGCACCATAACTTGACACTAAATAACAGTAAAGGTTACCAAGGCAAGTGTTACAACACAGTAGCAGACATCACCTGGAAGGAGAACCACATGCTTACATTCACAAGTTACAGGAGGAAAAGAAAAGAAAAAAGACACTGGGTAACATTTTGCTTCATTCAAAACATGCTTTCCAAAGTTGTACTTTATTTGCTAATTGAGCCAAGACAACTCTTGATTAATCCTAGTATGCACCACAAGAGAGAAAGCATTTTGTGACACATTAACCTAGGGACTGAGAATCAAGACACTATTTACCAACAACGAAGGAATTTCAGTGTGCTTAGAAAAAAAAAAAAACAAACAACAGGATTTACAATGCTGATAGAAGCAAAATGATACATACTGCATTTGGAAGTGAGATCAGCCATATCCTCAAGTAACACTATGCACTTGTTTTTGGCCATTTGTTGAGCCCACTACTTAAGGCTCACTGCTATGACCTACAAGCTTTTTCATCTTTAGGGAACGACATTACTCTCATAAAAGGAGAGAAAATTACTTGCAGTTATATATCTGTAAGTAATCCCTCCCAATGAAGTTCTCCACTATACCAGTTCTTCCCTAGTTGCTTCTTGATACAAATATCTCAATATAAACAATTTTAAGACTGCACAGAAAGTGAAAGAAAAATGAATTTTTTAAAAATAAAATACTTGATTTTTAAAAACTTACCTTTAAAGTGTGAGGGAGAACTGAGTATAAACTTTTTTATTGTAGCTTTATAGAAATACACATGTATATATATTACAAAAGTTTACAGCTCATATATATCCTATCATGCCCATTTTTAACCACAGTCATTTTTTAACTCTAGAATAGCAATTGGCAACTTTAATATGAAATTATTTTAAAACAACTTATTCTGCTAGAATCTGATCCTCCACAAATGTCTTCAAATCCTTGTTTGCTTAATACACAACTAATATGATCAGCACACCTCCTGTGCAAACTGAATTGCATATCATTTATACAAACACAAGACAGGATCCCCAGTTAAAACAACTGCATAGGAAAGCGTTCCTAAAAAGTATAAATTTGTATTTTAACCTGCAGTTTGATAGCATGTTCTTTCTAAATTTATTCCCCAAAATCTGAAATGTAATGACTTAAATCACAGAAAAAATGTAAATTTAGTGAGATTGAGACATACAGAGAGTTGTATTGTGTAGCTGCTCCATCTACGATTTATCTATGTTCATTTCTGCTTCTTGCACTGGAGATGTCCTGCTGATCCTGATGGTCTCATGGACCATAGTAAGTTATGAAAAGAGACAAATGGTCAATGTTCACTAGTCTTATGCTAGCACCTCTGTGAACACCAGCAGATTCCATATTAAATATCATTAGTTACCGGACTTTTAAAATATCTACATGTGTTTATGTGCATGTCATGAGCAAATAACTGCTGAAAATCCAACCAAGATGCTCTCTTATTTCTGCATTTAACCATTCCCTGTGCTTTACTTATTTGGGAACTGCTCTGAAATAGCAAAAAAGTCAGTGTTTTTGTTCATAAGGGCACTATGAAATTCACATAGGCAAGTGATCAAAAGCAGCGCAATTACTTACACCCATTCAGTGTGTGAAAGGAAAATAGTTACTGTCTTATAGGCCTTTCCAGGCCCCAGTAGTTAAGAAACATTTGCAGCTAACAGTCCTAGTGGTCAGAAGGATTTAATTGGCAAAGGAGTGAACTATTTGTAAAAAGATGTCCTGTCTAGACCCTCCTTGTCTGAGGGATTTAATTCACTGTTGTTATATATCATATGCTGCTTATCTGACACAGTTTTGGTGAGAAATGGGTTGTAAAGGTTATAGGAACTCTGTAGCTGCCCCAGCTGAGCGGAGTTCACACCAGCAGAGGCTGTCACCGCTGCTCCCTGTCCTCTCCTACAGCCACAGCAACAAGCCACTTCTGCTGTGACCTGATCTAAATTATTGTACATGGGTACCTCGTGAGGGTGCTGTTGAGGACAGCACCTTGTCCACGGCAGTCTGTGTGACCAGCTGTGTCAGTGTCCTCTCTGTGTGTCCTGTGTCCGTCTCTGGGATTTGTGCTCAGCTTCACTACCGGACAAAACTGCAAATGGGAAAGCAGCAGTTGCGTTCCCCAGCCTGAGCAGGGAGGCCAGGTGCTGGGCTGGGGCTGCTGGAGGGCTCCTCTAACATCCCTTATCGGTCTTGTAGCCAGCAGGATCTGGTTGAGTTGTGAGTATTCCTGAGATTAAACGTATGTGGTCCTTACGTGATGGGGGACCAATCCTTTGTTAATGTGCCCCTAGTGTTAAGTTTGTAAGCAAACTTCTAGAGCATTATAGTGGCACCTAAACAGGACTAGCACTAATAAATCCTCAGGTTAATTGGAACGACTGCACAGGGGTGGGGGAGAACAAGATATTTCTAGAACAGTAGAACAACAATAGAAAGTGTAAATGGCTGAAGTAAAGGCATA